AATATTATACCTGAATCTGTAATTTAACAAATACACAATAAATCAGTGCTATAAATTTAAAAATCGAATATCTTAAATTTAAATCATGAATACACCGAAGCTACTGGATTGTCTCATCTTCCTTCTGGACTCCACAAGAGTACTCCACCACATTTAATAAACAAACGTTGCTTTCTAAAGGGAAAATGATCCAACAAACCGAAAAGTGTTAATTTGGTATTAATATATTTTGGTCAACGTATTACAACGGTAAAGTTGTCTCCGTATGACCTATAAGTCACAAGTTCAAGCCATGAAATCAGCCACTAATGCATATATTAGGATAGACTGCCTACATTATACCCTTTTAGGGTATGACCTTTCCCGAATCCTGTGTGAACACGAAATGTTTCGTGAACGGAACTGCCCGTATAGAAAATTAACCTAATAGACACCCTTAGATAAAAGTGTCATCATATGTTTATACCAAATCAATCTGTCATAATTAATTTTAGTCACAGCCCCACAGACAATTATGTTGACCAAACCGTCATTAATCAAACTAAATAGAGAGTAAAAAACACTTTCATTCTCCACTTTTATGGTTTAAACGCCCACTCTTTGTTACATTTTAGCCAAAGTGGGATAGGGTTTGACTTTATGTAATGTGGTGGATGATATTCTTAATATATAAGTAAGGTGAGAATTGTGGATAAGCCCTTTATTGTTGCTCAAGTGGAAAAGAAGTGTACCCCAATTTTTTTTCTTAATGTGCGACTAAGCATGGCTAGCTATTAATAAGATATATGTTTAATTATGATATGATTATATAATTATCTCTTTGCTTGTTGTTGATGGACTGATTACACTAACTCTAATGTCCATAAATTAGTATAAACAGTAAAACGCATTATCTAATGTTACATTTGTGAAGGAAAAAAGAGAAAATTTAGCACTACTGTTTCAATCATGTTTCTTGTCGACAATTAACTCGAGATAAATTAAACTACGTAATTAAGAAGGTTGAAGACAATGATCAGGCTAACAAACCTAACAAACCTGATAATTATGCGATCACTTAGTCTTAATTTACAAGAATTAGGACTCTTTGTATTAGCTATCCTAGAAAAGTCCTATTCTATGTTGTATAACCAAAATATAGGATCAATATTTTGTACAAATACATATGACTCGTGTAACTGAAAACATATCAATACACTGCCTTCTTGACATTGTCTCTGTATCATAATTTCACATAGTATCATAGCTTTTTTGAAGCCAATCACGCTGCCAAATTCAGTTCTTACTACATAATATCAACTCTGTCCATATGGCTTCCAACGCCTTTTCAACAGCCTCTCTTCATCATCTCATTGTTTCATGTCCTGTGAAATTGAAGCACTCTAACTATTTGATATAGAGAGCAAAAATGATGCAACTTATCCAAGTAATGAGGTTGAAATATCTTTTTGAAGAAAAGCCAGAAATTATAAACATAGAAGGAACCAACGAAAGCAGTGATAAAGACAATGACAAGGGAGTTGACAAAGCCAGTGACAAAAAGGTTGATACTGCTGATGACTGGGCTGAAAAAAATGTGTTGTTAAGGAGTTGGATATCTGGGATAATATCAGAAGAGAACATGTACCTCATTGTGGGATGCACGACTTCTAAACAGATGTGGGAATGTCTGGAAGAAACCTATCTGCAGGAAACAAAGGACAAGGAATTCCAGTTGAAGAAACAACTTCAACCATCAAGCTGGGCAGTAGAACCATCGATAAGTATCTGAAGGAACTCTGTAACACTATGTAAATTCGGACTATGCATGGATATGTTAAATGAGTATTAATGTGACATCTTAGACATATGAAGTCATATCGATATGAGTATGAGTGAAAATAGTTATTTTATAATCAAGACGGAGAGTGAGGTACATAAGATTCGATAAATCGACTAAGTTTATGGAAGGTCTGTCTTCTAGAAGGATTTAGTAAGATTCTATTGGTAATTAGTGAAAACCTAAAACATAAAAGGTGTAGCCCTTAGCTTTCCAACGATATATTATGGAGTTTGAACGGATTTTTGAGTAAAAAGTTATGTGTGTTTTATTAGACATTGCGCAGTATGCGCGCCCAGATAGTCCTGTGCGCGACTGCACAGTTGTGGTAGTGCTACTGGCCTGCTGAGCATCCAGGTGCCCGGTTGGGCCTTCAGGTGTGCGGGAGTGCACCCAGGGGGTAATATTTATAGCCCTACTTCGTTCCCCAAACCCCAAAACAAAAAAAAACTTGCTCTAGAAAGGGAAGGTCTTAAGAACCTAACTCCTCAAAGGTCCCTCCACCATCCAAGGTAAGTTTTAATAGTGATCCTAAGTTTATTTCAACTCTGCAAAATCTTATTAACATGGGTAAACCCTTCAAATTATTAGATATTCGATTGGGACATCATTTTTGAGAAATGAAACCCTAGAACTCGAATTCAAGAGGATTGAATGTCAAAAGGTAATATCTTTACCCTCTAATTGGTTATAGCATTGGATTAATGATTATAGACTCTAAGTTCATGATATATGAGCTGATGGGTATGATAGAAAATCATTGAATGGTTATAGGCTTGGGTTGTTGATTATTGATTATTGATTAAGGGATATTATTTATCTTATGAGTGATAAAGAATGGTATTGATTATAGCAATTTGAGGTTTTAGAATATATCTAGGAGTAAGAGAATGAGTTGTTGGGTGTAAAAACACCATTAATAAGGGATATGGAGCTTTATGCCCACCAAGTATTTGATATAATACCTAAGTGACCAAAACATGAGTATTATTGCTAATATAGAATCCCTTTGACTTGTAATGCTATAGATTAAAGTTGAAAGGGTTGGAAAAAATTGTAGTACACTCTGTTGATACCCAATATTTTCCTCATATATTTTTTAATACATATATATACTTTCAAAACAGCACATATGCAGTTATAAGCATGCATAAGTATTTTTTATAATTTTTCTATAATTTTTAAAAGCTCCAAACTGATTTATTTCTCCCCTTTTATTTATAAAATCTCCAATAATTATCCTTCAAATTATTTTTGTGGTGATTTAGTCATCTAAATTCTTTATTTATGCCAAAATATTGTTTAAATATTTTAGTGTATTTTTTATAATTGCATTTATATTTTTTAAGCTAAATTGCATATCTTTGCAATTATAGCCCTACTAATGCATAATTGCATTGTTGATGCATAAAATGATCCTTTACATTTTTAAAATGCTAAACAACTAAGTATGTTTATGGTGTTCCTAGAAATTTAATAATTCTCTCGGTGTAGGATAGTGTGACTTTGCTATTTTGCACCAACTTCACCAGAAAATGTCGCGAGGCCGGCCTCGACGACATGCAACTACTGTGGATCTGAGAGATCTAACAGAGAAGGAAATAGATAGAGAGCCAACTGAGAAATCTGATGAAAAAGCTAAGAAAATCAATGGAACATTAATAGAAAAACCAATGGAACAGTGGCCAGCTTTAGCAAAAGGAGCAAAAACACCACCGTTGACTATAGAAGGCTCAAATTCAGCTCAATTGGAACCTAATAAGAGTGTTTCTGCTGTAATTGAGGAAGCTGAGATGAATGGAGCATGGAAAGGTATGGGGGAAATTGGAGCTCAGAGGAAATTGGAGATCTCGGCTGCGACAAATGCAACGATGAAATGGAAGAGCCTATTCACTGAAAATAAAATGGCTACTCGAGGTATGAATTTACAGTATATTGCCCCTACAATTAAAAATGGGGTCAAGGTAGCTAAATTAGACAAAGAGGTTGTGGAGCGAGCTACTGAAAAATGGAGAATTGTTGTGATTGTGTATGTAGTGGGTGAAACTCCTACTATTGTTGCGTTTGAAAGATTTGTCTCATTTCAGTGGAACTTTGCTGCAAAACCATCAATATACCTTCATATTGATGGGTATTTTGTGGTTAAATTTGACACAATAGAGGAAAGAGATGTTGTGCTCTATTCAGGGCCATATATGATGAATAACAAGCATGTGATGGTTAAAGTGTGGATTGCGACTTTTGGCTTTGCTAATGAAGTATTGAAAACTATACCACTATGGATCCAATTGCCTAAACTACCTCTTAGGGAATATGATTCATTGAGTCGAATTGGGAGTACTTTGGGAATACCTATATATGCAGATGCATGTACTACTAGAGTTGAACGCATTTCATATGCTCGAATTCTAGTGGAAATGGATGTGACTAAGCCACTTCCAAAATAGATTATGGTAGAAGATCCTAATGGAAGGGAGTTTGAGCAAGATGTTTGGTACGATTGGATGCCTCAGTATTGCACAAAATGTCTGTAATTGGGACATGTCTGCCAAGAACCAAAGAAGGAAGAAATAAAGCAAAGAGGAAGAGACCAAAAGCCACAATAGTTTTGGCGAAGGAAAGAACAAGTGGAAGAGAAGCAGGACAAAACAGCTATTATACAAGTTCAAAAACAGGATGAAAAGCAGAAAGGAATAGAACAACCACAGCAAGATTTGTCACCACAAAGACAGGAGGATGAGGAAGGTTGGCAGACAGTGAAGAATAAATCTACAGTAAAAAACTCTAAATATAGGGGGATAAGCATAGAAATGGGAGCAATACACCAGATCCTTCAACTTTAATGCAGATAAGTGTGGTATCTAATAGTAAGAATAGATGGGAAGTGATGCAGGAGGAGGATGACCCATTCATACCAAAATAAAGATAGTAACATGGAATGTTAGAGGATTGAATAAAGTATATAAGCAAAAAGAAATAAAGAAATATATTAGAGACAATAAGGTAGGCTTAATAGCTATTATTGAGCACAAGGTGAAGCAAGATGTGGCAGGGAAAATCATACAAAATTGCACAGAGCTGGAAGTGGAATGACAATTATGTAGCTAGTACAAAAGGAAGAATATGGGTAGTATGAGATCCAGGAGTAGTGGAGTTTGTGCAGCATAGTAAATCTGAGCAGATGATCACAGGGAAGATTACTTTAATTGAGAGCAAGGAAGAATTCTGGTTTTCAGCAATATATGGGCTGCATACTATTGAACAAAGAAGGAACATGTGGGAGGAGTTAACACAGTTGCATATGGAGCTAAAGGGACATTGGATTGCAATGGGTGACTATAATGCAATACAAAGTTGGGAAGATAGGTACAATGGGAACCCTGTTATGGAAGCAGAGATAAGGGACTTCAATGATTTCTTAGAAAATACAGGAATGATAGAACTTAGATATATTGGGAGGGAGTTTACATGGACAAATAGCCATGTACATAGCAAAATAGATAGAGCACTAGTAAATGATGGATGGATGATGAATATGAGGCAATTGGAGGTGGTGGTGCAGGACCCTTTGTTTTCTGACCATACACCTTTGTGTCTTTATTTTGAGCAGGAACAACAGAATAATCCAAAACCTTTTAAATATTTCAACAACTTTGCTGAGCACAAGGAATTTAAAGGCATAGTTAAGGCAACATGGGAGAGGAACATACAAGGACCAGCAATGAAAAGAATCTGGATAAAGCTTAAAAGACTTAAGAATGGGCTGAAGCAACTGCATCAAGAGGAGTATAGCAAAATTCATGAGAAGATCACACTCATAAGGGGAGAGTTACAGAGAATGCAGATGCAAATGAGAGACCTAAACCATACAGAGAGTTTGAAGAATGATGAAAAGGATCTAAAAGAGAAGCTAGAAAAATGGAGTACAATTAAGGAGGGTATACTGAAACAAAAATCCAGGATCCAATGGTTGAGGCTAGGGGATTCAAATTCAGCTTTCTTTCATGCTAGTATAAAGAACAGGAACGCTCAAAAGAAGATTATAAAGCTAGTCACCCAAACAGGAATGCAGACTCAGAATCAGGAGGAAGTACAATAGGAAATCATTCAGTTCTATTAGAAACTATTAGAAACAGCTGCAGAGGAGATTCCAGCTATTACACCAGATGTGATGAAGAGAGGAAGCATACTGACAAGAGCACAACAAGTAAAACTGATAGAACATGTGACAAGGGATCAGATTGTCCAAGCACTAAAAAGCATAAATGACTCAAAGGCTCCAGGGTGTGATGGGTATAATTTACTATTCTTTAAAAAGACATGGGCAATTATAGGAGATGAAGTAGTGGAGGCAGTTTAGGACTTCTTTAGAACTTCAGAAATGTACAGGCCAATCAACTGCACTACAGTGATTTTAGTTCCTAAAGTGCAAAATCCATCAAGAATATCAGAGTTTAGGCCAATATCATGTTGTACTACCATCTATAAAATCATATCCAAAATCATAACTAGCAGACTTCAACAGGTGATGGACTACTTGGTTGATGATAGCCAATCAGCTTTTGTACCAGGGAGGATAATTTCAGACAACATCATTCTAAGCCACGAGATAGTAAAAGGTTATAGCAGGAAGAATATTACTCCATGATGTTGTTTGAATATTGATATGAAGAAGGTATATGACTCTGTTGAGTGGTGTTTCTTAGAGCAAATTCTAGACCAACTATGTTTTCCACAAGAGTTCATTACATGGATCATGAAATGTGTAACTACAGTCTCCTACTCTATTCTTATAAATGGTAATCCTATGAAGCCTTTTCCAGTAAAGAAGGGACTGAGACAGGGAGATCCCATGTCCCCTTTTTTGTTTGTGCTAGTAATGGAATACTTCACAAGAATGTTAAAGGGACTTAAGGGAAACAAGTCTTTCAAATTCTATCCAAAATGTGCTAAGATAAATATAATACAACTCAGTTTTGCAGATGATCTGCTCTTGTTTTGCAAAGGAGACATGGAGTCTGTGAAAGCACTGTATGCTAGTTTTCAAATATTCTCTAAGGTTTTTGGGCTGGAAGCAAATGTGGAGAAAAGGAGCATATACTTTGGGGGAGTGAATCAGACAATGCAGCTTGATATATTGCATCATCTAGGTTTTTTAAAGGGTGAGCTGCCTATAAGATACCTAGGGGTCCCTCTCAGTACAAAGAGGCTATCAATAACTCAATGTAAGCCACTAATTGACAAGATCATTGGCAGGATTACTAGCTGGACTTCAAAGTTTTTGTCTTATGCAGGGAGATTACAACTTATTAAAAGTGTTCTTTTCTCAATACAAACTTTCTGGTCTCAGATTTTTACATTACCTAGGAAGTTGATACAAATGATTGAGAGTGTGTGCAAAAGGTTCCTCTGGACAGGAGGTGTTGATGTATCACATAGGGCACTTATTGATTGGGATAGAATCTGTATGCCAAAGGTAGTAGGGGGGATGAATATTATGGACATCTAATTGTGGAATAAGGCAGCTGTATGCAAATTGCTGTGGAACATATGCAATAAGAAGGATAAACTATGGGTAAAATGGATACATTATTACTATGGAAGGAGAGCTAGTCTATGGAAGAGCAAACCAATGCAGGCGTATTGGATTGTACAGAAGATAATAAAGGTTGCTGAATATCTGGAAGAAGTGGGGATACAAGAAGAAGAACTTAGTCAGATGCAATGCTTCACCATACAGAAGATGTATAAGAAGTTCCAGGGTGAGTATCCAAAATGCTCATGGAGAAGATTAATCTGTAACAACTATAGAGATCCTAGATGGTTATTCGTACTATACTTAAAAGCTCCTAGATGGTTATTCGTACTATACTTAAACTTACATGAGAGGCTGTTAACAAGAGATAGAGTGGCAAAGTGGAGTCAAATTGATGATCTATCATGTCCATTGTGTGCAAGAGAACCAGAAAGTGCAGAACATTTGTTCTTTAAGTGTGGAGTAACATCACAAATCTGGGATAACTTATTGGAATGGCAAGGAGTCCAAAGAAAAGCAAAAGGGTAGAATGAAGAAGTTCAATGGGCAGAGGTGCATGCAAAGGGGAAATCTGCAAATTCAAATGTGTATAGATTCTGTTTGGCAGCATGCGTCTATCACATATGGAATGAGAGGAACTTGAGGATCTTTCAAGGGAAAGCTAGGCAAAATAAGGCCATCATACGGGTAATAGAACAGGAAATTCATAGTTGTGGTAGTAAATACAAGAAGTTAGATAGCAAGCTATAGGAGATGAAAGAGTATGCTAAATTTTAAAATAGTACTAGACTGTTTTACAGAGTTTCTTTTTATTTTTTTGTCTGTAATTAGGAGAAACGGGAAAGTATAGGACTTGGGGCATGATGTCCAAGATCCTAATAAATGAGAATTGTAAAGATTATACTTGGTTTGTGAAATAAAAAATTTTACTTACCATAAAAAAAATGCTAAACAACTATTTTTAATCATTTTAGTACACTAAAATATTTTTTTTGGAAATCGTTTATTATTTTTATAAATTATATAGTATTGAAAATGGCTATTTAAAATCTGGCCTAATTTCTTTTCAATTTTAGCCCCAATCCAACCCCAATACTAGCCCAATTTTCAATTAAATTACCCAGCCCCGGAACCCCAGGCCCAAATGCCCATCTGCCTAACCCAATACCCGGCTAAATCCTGGTCGTTGATCATTTTGATCAATGGTACAGGTTCCCCCTTTTCATAATTAAACTAACCTATACCCCAAAACCCTAATCATTTACCACCCTTCCCCCACTGTCACCTAGTCCTTTCATCTCTCAAAAGTTCTCAACCAAAACCCTAATCTCCAAACGTCGTCACTCACCTACTGCCCTCCTATGATGGTTCTTCACCGCCTCAGGCCTCTAATGGCCTCTTGTTTTCTATGGCGTCTCCATTTTGTATCCTTGAAGAGATCCTCAAGGGACCTAGGTGGTATGTTTATACCTTGGGTTTTTCTTGTTGTTTTCAGGCCATTTGGTTCGACCTTGAGTAAGATCTTTTTGATTCTCATCTTGAATTCATAGTCTCCTAAGTCTAAGTCCTCATCTCTGTTTTGCCTCTCAAAACTTAATTTTATCTTTGATCCTCTCAGATCTGTATAGATCTGATATGGATTGAACGTATTTCACATGTTTCTTGAAAGTTTTCTGATTTTTCAAGCGATTTTCCGTTCTTCCTAAAACTAGGGTTTACTGAAACTCGTCTTCTCAAGTTTTCCTGATTTTCTAGTGTTAATCATCTGTTCTTAGGTATTATTGACTGATTTATGCTAAGATTGTCTACACCCTAACTAGTTTATGTTAAAGCCCTAATTTTCTTATGTTTTTGCGTCGATTATGTGCCTTTCTGAACTACTTGTTACATTGTTGGTGTTGTGCATTGACTTTCATGATTTTCCCCTATAGCCTAATTCAGTATCTTGTGACTTCTACCCTAGTTCATCTCTACTAGGGTTTCTGAGTCGATCTCTCGGCTCATTTGTGTGCGTTTATGAAGTTTTGTTCAGCGTACTCATCTATTTTTGGAAAACTTATATTTTCCCTCTCTTTAAATCAGTATTATTTTGAATTTCGATTTACTAATTTGCTTGTTCAAAATTATGCGCTGATTATTGATTTATTCCCTTGTTTACGACTCTAATTATTCTTATTACCTTAATTTTCTGTAATGTCATTGATTCTTCCCGATTACTTTCTTAACTTAAACCTCTGCTTGTTTGCCTATTTACTTAGGTCTGATTTTATTTTCTTTCCTTAAGTGACTCTTGTCCTTTAACCGTTGGGTATTTGTCCTTAATTAAAGGAAGACCATGCTAATTTCGTGTGTGATTGATTTTGTAATTTTCTTGATTGCTGAATTACGATTTCTTTACCTTATTCTGCTCCACTCATAAACTGCTATATATACTCTCCCTTACTCTCAGTTCAAGAACAACAAACACAAGTTCAAAGAACACATACTCACACTCAAAACTCTCCTTTCTTGCTCTGCTACTTGTGATAATCACTAATCTAGCCGCCTGTAAGTCAAGGCTAGATATTGAACTACACTTGCTTTACATTCTGTGCTCTCTTCATTAACTGGTATGTCTCCAGTTAGATTTTAAAACTCAACTTCATGTGTTCTATGCCTATACATCTGTGCTTGTTCCTGTATTGGTTATTCAATTTGGTTTCTCTGTTTGCTGTTATTAAGCATGTCTAGATTTTGCCTTATGAGTAATTAGCATGACTGACTTCATTTAGTTCTTTGATTTTGTCCAGTATGTTTACCTAGTTCCCTTACCCCTCCCTTTAATTGGTATGAATTTGTTAGTTATTTAGTCTTCTAGTGCATTCAATTGGTCCTGATTGTGTTCAATTCTGTTCAGCATATCTTTGTTGCCAACATGATTCTGTCATATTCTTTCTCTATGTCTATGACCAATCCATTCAGTATACTCCTAGTTGTTCTAGATATTTGTTGCATCAGTTCCCTGTTTATGTAGTCTCAATCCTATATGTTTCCTAATCCCATTCACCCCTTGTTTGTGAACTAGTCGGTTAAGTGAATCTGGGTAGTCCTTGATTAATTGGGTTGTTTGCTGAGTGTGTTTTCCTTAGAAAGATTTCAAAATTGCTGCTCTTACTCATAGCATTCTTCTCAAAAACTGGTCACTCCTAGTATTTTTTAAAAAAAAACTGTTTCTGAATCTTTTCACTTCTAACTATTTACCAAACTCTTTCAAAGTCATCATGCACTCTCACACTACTCTTAGAATATTAGGTTTTGCCCCTCTAGCATGTGTACTGCCTTGAGATCCTTGAGATCTCTCTGAACTCTGGCATGTCAGATCTGACCTTTCCACACTTCACCTAAATCAGTTATTATTTGAGAAAAGGTCTAGGTGTGAGCACTGCCCGGGATCTTTGAGATCCTTAGGGAACTCTGACACACCTAGACACAAAATTGGCTATGGAACTCTGGCATTTGAGGCTATTGGAGGTTGGGAAGTCACTTGGGCCTGCTTCAGGATCCCTATAGTTAACTTCTTCTCT